AGTAAATCAAAAGACACAAATCTATAAATAGGAGTCTGTTAAGAACTCAGTATTAAGATCATTCTATAGATGACCATCGGTAGACTCAATTAGAATTTCTATATTTAACAGAAATTTTTAGAAATTCATGTTGTGTCTGTGTCCTTGTTCCACATAATAAGATTATGTGAAATACACTCATTCAATATCTCACCATATTAACAGTGCGGATAACACCGTTCCATTCTAAATGGGAATGACATGTATTAATAATGTTTTAATTAAAGATTCTGAACTTTAATTAAATTCATTATGAACATTACTGTTTGATTATTATGCTTAAACATTATTCTCTTGTATATAACACTTATATACAATGTTTAAGGTCACATAAATAATCATGAAATTTTCATTGATATTCATAAAATATTCATAAATATATGCACATAAAATGATGAATAAACTCTTTTATTAAATAAATAATAAATATCATATTACATCTCATGCTTTTAGGACACCATTCCCAACAGCGCCACCTCAGAATCCAGGTGGAAACCTTCTGGGAGATGTGGGGTCAGTGCAAGTGGGCGGACGGGCAAGGGGCGGACCCAACGCGCAAAGGGCAGAAGTGTCGAGAGGAGCCGGCTCAGCAATCTCAACGGAGGAGGCACGAGCCAGTATAGAGCGCATGGCCAGCCTGGAGCAAAAGCTCACGGGTGATGTCACCGGCCTAAAGAAGAATATAGGGTGAGTGGCCGAGGTGGTGAACATCGACATCACACTTAGCCGGACACATGACCACCCGTTTACTGTGGAAATTATGGCGCCACTTCTCCCCGATAAATACAGGTCACCGTCAATCCCACTGTATGACGGCCGAGGGGATCCCGATGATCACCTAGAGATGTATACAGGGCACATGCTATTGCATGGATATGCCAAGGTGATCATGTGCTGAGCCTTCCGAAACCATCTAACAGATTCTGCCCGGAGATGGTTTCGAACGCTAAAACCAAACTATCTCAAGCTGTGATGAGTTGAAGGAAGCATTTTCCCTCTAGTTTATGGGAGTGAAAAATATGTCCCTCCAAAGCAAAATTTGACAACAATATACCATAAGCCAAACGAGCCACTAAAAGAGTGGCCTGCAAGGTATGGGGAAGCTGTCACCGCGACGACTGATATAACCGACCGGGAGGCCTTGATGGGGGCATTATCTAGCATGAAAAAGATTACTCCCTTCAAGAGAAAGCTAAACCGGAAGCCCCCATCCAGTTACAAAGAATTCCTTGCACGAGCGCAAGGGTACATCAACGCCGAGGAAGCAGATGCGAACGATCCTGAGTACAAGTCCAACAAAAACAAAGGGACTGAGCAAGGGTCGACTGCAGGAAAGCAGGACGGAAAGAAATGACGAGGCGGAGGAAGCGGGGACAAGCGGCCTGCTTCGAAGTCGAACACTCTAGAAGCCAAGAAGCCAAGGCAAAAGGAGAACTGTAAGCCTCAGCCGTTTCAAAGATATGATTCCTACCATGAATTAACAGTAGGAGTCGAATGAGTGTTTAATCAGGCCAGTCGCGGGAATTTACTGCGTCGTCCAGAGCCGATGAGGTCAAATCCCAGCCGAAGGAATCAGAAAAAATATTGCAGGTTCCATGGCGACGTCGGCCACCACACCAATGATTGCGCCGATCTTAAAGATGAGATCGAAAGGGTAATCCATGAAGGAAGGCTGCAGGAGTTCAAGGCCGAGCGGAGACCAAGAAACGAGGGCCACGGCGGCCAAAATGACGATCGACGCCGAGAGGAGAATCGGCGACCAGAGGACCGAGAACCCGTCGGCATCATACGAACTGTCCTTGGCGGTCCGTATATTGGAGGAGACTCGAGGAGATCTCAAAAAGACTACGCCCACGAAGCTAGAGGGGTTTACCAGGAAAGGTTCTGGAGTGTCTCCGCCGTGAAAGCAACAAGATTCGGTAGCGCTGACGTCGCGTTAAATGAGGACGATGCCAACAGGGTTCACTTCCCCCACAATGATGTCAAGGCACCGTTGAGGACATAGACCTCAGGGTCCAAGAGGAGGTTACGTGGTCTTAACCCGTCAAGCAATTGGTGGAGATCCAGGTCGACGAGGACAAACCAACCAGAATGCTAAAAGTAGGTTCGGACTTAACCCCATCACTTAGGGTGGAAGTCGATGGCTTCCTCAAGAAGAACTTGGATGTCTTCACCTAGAATCATGCTAATATGGAAAGGATCGACTCGGAAGTCATATGCCATTCTCTAAATATCGACCCCTCATATCCCTCCAAATGCCAGAAGCGCCGACCAATGAACCCGGAGAGGTATGAGGCATTGAAAGAAGATGTCGATAAGTTAATCAACAATGGTTTCATTAGAGAGGCCCATTACCCACGATGGGTCTCAAACCCCGTTTTGGTGGTCAAGCCCAACGAAAAATGGAGAACATGCGTCGACTTCAGTGATCTCAACAAAGCCTGCCCAAAAGATGGTTTCCCACTCCCTCGAATAGACCAAATGGTCGACGCCACAGCGGGGCATGAAATGCTGAGTTTTATGGATGCTTACTCTGAATACAATCAGATCCCCATGCACCCGATCGATGATGACCACACATCTTTCATAACCGATAGGGGCCTCTACTACTACAAGGTAATGCCTTTGGCTTGAAAAACGTAGGGGCTACATACCAAAGGCTTGTGAACAAAATATTTGCTCAACTGCTTGGCAAATCAATGAAAGTTTACGTCGACGATATGCTTGTGAAGAGTACCAGGGCCACCCAACACATCGACCATTTGGGGAAAATGTTTGGCGTGTTGAGAAGATACCACATGAAACTAAACCCCCTGAAGTGCGCCTTTGGAGTTAGATCAGGGAAATTCCTTGGTTTCTTAGTCAGTAACCGGGGGATAGAGGCTAATCCCAAAAAGATAAAAGCCTTGCAGGATATTAGGTCTCTGACTAAACCAAAAGAGGTGCAAAGGTTGACGGGGTGTGTCGCCGCTCTGAACAGATTCATATCAAAGGCAACGGATAAGTGCGTTCCTTTCTTCGATGCTTTGAAAGGAAGTAAGCGTTTTGAATGGACACCGTAATGTGAAGAGGCCTTTCAAAAATTGAAGGAGCACCTGGGCAGGCCCCCAATCCAACGGGGAGCTGAGCCTATACCTCTCTGTTTCACAACACGCCGTGAGCTCCGTGCTAATAAGAGAGGAAGAAAGGGTCCAGCTGCCGGTCTACTATGTGAGCAAAAGACTCCTCGACGCCGAGTTAAGATACACTAAAATGAAACAACTGGCTCTCACCCTGATGGTAGCCTCAAGGAAGCTTCTGCATTACTTTCAATCCCACACAATACGGGTTCTCACAAACCACCCGTTAAGGCAGGCATTACAAAAGCCCGAAACATCAGGTCGACTTCTCAAATGGTCGGTGGAATTAAGCCAGTTCAACATTAAGTATGTACTGAGAATAGTTATCAAGGGGCAGGCGCTAGCTGATTTTCTGGCCGAGTTCTTTCATAGACCGACTCCCACCACAAGCGAAGAAGTCAAGATGACTGAGTAGAAACTCTACGTGGATGGAACGTCGAGCGAAAATGGGTTAGGAGTCGGCGTTCTGTTGATCAGCCCGGAAGGCCACAAGATTACTTCAGCGGTACGATTTAAATTCAAGGCGTCGAATAATGAAGCAGAGTATGAGGCGCTGATTACAGGACTGCGATTGGCAAATTACTTGAAAATTGAGAGGCTCGGCATCTTCAGCGACTCTCAACTGGTCGTTGGACAAGTAAAAGAAGAATACCAAGCGCGTGGCAAAAAAATGGGTGCGTACTTGAGAAAGGTAAAGGAAGAACTCATCAAGTTCAAAAGCTATGAAATACTTAAAGTACCACGAGTTGAGAACACCAACGCCGACGCCCTGGCAAAGCTAGCATCTTCAAGGGATTCTGAAATACTAGGGATCGTTCCTATTGAAGAACTTGAGTGGCCGACCATTGAGGCCTTGACCATCTAGACAGACGAAAGTTGGATGACACCGCTTATCCAATACCTAACGGATGCAAAACTGCCGAGTGATAAAGACGAGGCCAGATGAATCAGGTATAGAGCCACCAGATACCTATTGTATGATGGTTTGCTTTATCGATGAGGCTATTCAATGCCTTTGCAGCGGTGTCTAAATGATAGCGAAGCCCAGGAGGTCCTCCGGGAGATCCATGAAGGAATATGTGGTAATCATACTGGGGGCAGTCTTTAGCACTTAAGGTTTTGAGGCAGGGGTACTATTGGCCTACGCTTAAAAAAGACGCATTCAAATACGCTCGACGCTGCGATAAGTGCCAAAAATATGCCACAATTCCTAGAGCACCCCCAGAAAACCTAACCTTCATTCTCAGTCCATGGCCCTTTGCCAAATGGGGGATTGACCTGATCGAGCCCTTACACCTCGCGCCGAGAGGCTTTAAGTTCGCCATCATCGCAGTAGACTACTACACTAAATGGGTAGAGGCAAAGGCTCTAACTACGACCACGGAAGCGGCTTGCACCAACTTCATATGTAACAACATCGTGTGCAGATTCGGGGTCCCACACTCCATAGTATCTGACAATGGGAAACAATTCGATAATGCCTCAACACGCAGGTTCTGTGATGGCTTAGGCATTCAAAAGGACTTCTCGGCGCCAATACATCCACAGTCCAATGGTCAAGTCGAGGCTGTCAACAAAGGTCCTGTGGGCATATAGAACGACAAGCCGAACCACCACGGGTGAAACACCCTTCACCATGGCGTATGGTGTCGAGGCGGTATTCCCCGTAGAAATTGAGACGCCAACTCTAGGAATTGTTGTCTACAACGACGACGGTAATGCAGAAGCCATGAATGGAGAACTCGACCTGTTAGAAGAAAAAAGGCTCGACACGTAACTACGCCTCGCTGACTATCAGCAAAGGGCAGCACGGTATTACAACAAGAAAGTTAGACAAAGAAGGTTCGTCCCAGGAGACCTAGTATTGAAGAGGGTAACACATAGTACGAAACCCAAAAATACTGGTCCTTTGGGCCCAACTTGGGAAGGACCCTACCGTATAAGGGAAGTGTTGCATCCTGACACCTACATTTTGGAAAGCCTCGCTGGTAAGCTAATTCAACACCCGTGGAATGCAGAACAACTAAGGCTGTACTACTAATAGTGTATGTAATTCTTACGCATCTCAATTGTATTTTTGGCAATTTAAATAAATTGATGTGTTTGTAGAAATATTGTTCAAAAATAAGAAAGGAATTTACCCCTTAATAACATGTCTGCTTAAAAAACAAAGGTATATTAAACAGACATGGGGGGCAAAGAGGGGTTTACGGATCACTAGAAGACGACGACCCTAAGGGGTAAAGTTAACGTCATCTCCTCCAAGGAGGAGAGGCGAACACTTAGCAAATTCTAAGGAATTTACTAAGACGACGACCCCAAAGGGTAAAGTTAACGTCGTCTCCTCCAAGGAGGAGAGGCGAACACTTAGCGAATTCTAAGAAATTTACTAAGACGGCGACCCCAAAAAGTAAAGTTTACGACGTCTCCTCCAAGGAGGAGAGGTGAACACTTAGCGAATTCTAAGGAATTTACTAAGACGACGACCCCAAGGGGTAAATATAAATTGCTCCTCTAAGGAGAGCGACGAACAATCATGAAGTCCACTATCTTCAAAAACAAATAAAATGAAAGGAAATCCAATACTATATATAAAATGTATATAATAACATATAGCAGTCTGTAAAACAAAAAACAGAGAAACCCTAAGCCTCGCCGCCAGCCGCCGAGTCATCACCATCGCCAGGCAAGGAAGAGTTGTCATCGTCAGTAGGAGGAGGAGGAACATAAAGGAAGCTCAAATCCCAGTCAGGATGCTCTTGTTTAATCAGATCGATAATTTGCTGTCCAGCAGACTGAAAGTCCTTGGTACAAATGTCAATGAGCTCCGGAGAAGCCTTGAACTCCTCAATAATCTCCGCGCGCTTGGCATCAAACATTACGGAGGCCTCGGCTTCAGCTTCCTTCTTCCCCTCAGCCTTTCCTTCGGCAAAGCACCTTTTCACGGCCTCAGTAGCTTCGGCCGATTTCTTCTTGGAGATCTCCGCCCGTTTTGTAAGCTCCTCAACTGCAGTCTTCAAACTGGCCAACTCATTTCGAAGGCTCAACAGCTTGGCCAGTTCGCCTTCCAAACTCATCAGCTTGGCCACGGCCACGTCACTCTCCTCGACGGCAGACGAGCACTTATTCTTGGCGTCATCAAGAAGAGATGTAAGCTTGGCTTCCAGACTATCCATCTCCTTACCACGTTCCTCGACCTTGACTAGATCAATGAGGTTGAGAATGGCAAGAACTAGGCCCTGAGAAATTGGAAGTCAGAAAATAAAGATGTGAAGGACGAATCAAAAAAAAAAGAAAGGGGAGGCACGGTCGAAGCTTACATGAATCTGAAAGGAAATCTGCTTACGTTGACAATCCACCAGAGAAGACTGAGCGGCAGAGATCCAGTGCGGCTTAAGAAATGATTCATATAAGGCCTGCAAGACGAGGGAAAAATGGGGAGGAAGCTTCAGCATGGCCCCAATCTTGGAGTCAGAAATGTCCGAAACTTGGAAGTTGGAATCCATGATTTTCGCCCCCGAAATAAGCACGCGTTCCCTAGGTACCGAAGGAATATCAGTAACGTCGGGGATTGGAACCGCCGGCATCCAAGTCTCGGTCACTGGCACCCTCTCTTTGCGCCTCCTTTTGGGCACAGGAACTTCCGCTCCCGACCCCGAAGAAACCTCCGTGGTTTTTCTTCTCTTCGGCGCTGGGGAAGAGGTGATGGTCTTCTCTTTTCCTTTGGATTGAGGCTGCGGGCCAGACGGAGTCTACTGGTTGCCGGGGAGCTAGATCCTTAAATAAGTCATTTATGTGCAAATGACAAATCAGAATACGCTCGACCTGCAGCTATACACGATAAGATTAAGAGAAGTGTCGGGCCCACGAGTTTACCTTCGTCGCTTAGATGAAAGTATTCACGGACGGCGGGAAGATTAGTGGGGTCTGGAAAGTGAAGAATCAACCATGCTCCTCTAAGGTTGAACTCGGTCAAGAAGGTGTCAATATGGCGATCGTTCACCGAGAGTAAAAAAGCCTCCTCAACCCTCGCCAATCTACTCCCAGTGAGCTTCGGCCGATCGTGGCTAACTGTAGGATAAAAGGAACTGTCAGCGATATTAAAAAAAAAGAGAGAGGGAAAGGGAAAGAAGCGAAGTGTCAAATTCTCACCCATATTCCCAAACGACATTTGCACCTTCCTACAGCGGGGCATACGGTCGTCGGGGTGAAAGTTAAAAGGCCCCTGTATCATGAAAAACATGAGTTTCCACCCATGTGATGACGAGGGTATACCTTGTATTAGCGTACCAAGCCTAGGCTTGGATCGGCCATGCCCACTCAAAAAATACCACCCCCGCGCACTTGGCGACGTGGCACAACCTATACATAAATATAAACTCATCCAGCGGTAGGTCCATATCAAACCACTTGCTCCACAAAACCCAGGCACCGGCAAAATAATACAAAAAATTCTGCGCCAATTGGGCAGGAGAGATACCATAAAAATGGCAGTGGTCCTTGACGAAGGGATGAATGGGTAAGGTCATCCCAGCCGTGACAGCACGAGTATATACAGAGAGATACCCGGTAGGAGGCCTACTGGTCCTAAAATGTACATCCGGGAGGAGGTACTCAAACCATCTCCTGTCGATGCAACCTTCTTTGACAGCCCGGATGATGTCTTTATTACGAACCCTCGACGCCACGACGTCGGCCGTAAAAAATGGCATGTCCGGGTCTCCGCTCGTGGCAGCCAAGGGGGCCTCCACCAGTGAAGCAATGACCCCACATACGCTGCCTCCCGTAAAAGGAATCTTGTTAACTTCTTTGTCAATCATACGGTCGACACTGTCACACTCATCGCCAAAATCGTCGCTTGGTCCGGCCACGTGTTCTTCTACTTCCCTTAATAATGAGTCGATGTCTGACGAGGAAGATGACAATGAAATCTCCGCCACGGAAGGGGAGTCTGGTCATACAATGGACGAGTCCTCTCGACGGGTGGGTTTTGGGGCCATTGTTCTGTTGGTAAAAAAGACAAGGAGCTAAGTCAAAATCCTAAGTCAAGAGGAACGAGTAAACGATGATCATTCTAAACGACGATTGCTCAATTGCCACTAATGCCTCTCAACATAACGACGACCATTCATATAAAAATGATAATGGTGAATGTTCATAACAACCAAAGTTCATCAGAACCCGGGAGCCAGAGACTACAATCAGGCAGAAATCAAAAAAACTATCCTACGTGGGTCAAACAAAGCGAATGGTAAGTCTCTATCCTCTACATCACATATTAACATGCGTATAGTTCAAAAGGAAAGCCAGTAAAATCATCAAGCAATACATATGAGCAAATGTTAAGCTTACCAATGAGTCAGAATCTGGGCAAAATTTAGAAACCGAGATAGCTTTACGAGGCACCGAGAAGAGCAAGGGATGTAAATCAGAAACTGCAAGAAAGAATTCAGGCAGAGTAACAACTCTTCAAGAAGCTTGGGAAGAAAAAATGGCTTTGGTTCGAAGAGTATTTAAGGGAAAGCAAGCCTCGACCCCTAACCGTCAGATAAAGTTCATAAAATCCAACGGTAGGGGCATTTTGCCCAGATCTGACGACAACAAACAAAGGCGGGAAGATGAAGGGGCATGATCCAAGGGTTCGTATTCGTCTTTTCAAAATAAAGCCTTACATCAGCCTGGTGAAATGACTGACGCGACGGTTACGTTCCTCGAGGAAATTCAAAGTGTCAAGGCCATCATTGCGGAGGAAGGCTCAGAATTAGGTTCCCACACCCGAGGCACAAAAATACACCCGAACCTGGCTCGAGGCTGTCTAAAGGAAACCCTCGACCTGGGGGGCAACTGTTGTGTGGGAAAATATGG